TTCCTTTATTTTCTTTTTTGGGAGTCTTTGGAGTTGTTGTGTCTTGTTTTTGGAGAAGTACAAATCGATTTAAACATGTTGGGATTGTTCGTTCACGCTTGTTTATGTTGAAAAGTGGTTTACAAACTTAAAAATTTTGTTCTGGGGTCGACACCAATCTTGGCGGTGTCGACACTTGTCTTTTGTTGTTGGCCTTAAGGGTCGACACTAGTTTGGAAAGGATCGACCCTTATCTATTGTAGAACCTGGGGTTTGCTTGCTGAAATTTAGTGTCGACACCAGTCTGGGAGGTGTCGACACCTTGTCCTCTGCACACATTAGTGTCTCGGCTTTTCTTCCTAAAGGGCGACACCTCTGTCGGAAGTGTCGACACCTGTGTATAATTTTCAGATTTTTGGGTCAGTTTAGGCCCTACTTTTTGGGGGTTTTTGACTTGTTCTTTTCATTTGACTTTGGGGCTATTGTTCTATTATTACCTTGCTACTATAAATAGGCTCCAAACACTTGATCATTTCACTTTTCCTCTTCTTCTCTCTCTCTCTCTCTCTCTCTCTCTCTCTCTCTCTCTACAACGTGAGTTCTCTTTTCTCTCTCTAAACTCAAACTTTTTCACTTAGATCTTTAGATCTAGTCACCCAGAGTGATCTTTTCAAAGAGAAAGATTGTAGATCTCGTCAAGGGCTTTCGTTTGATCCAAGAGTTTCATGATTTTATTGCCAGTGACTTTTGGGTTGTCATTTCTTTGCTTCAAGAGGTAGGAGTTTCTAGTTCTCCTTTAATACCCTCATTCATAGATAGATTTGTGGTATTTTCTTTATATAAATACAAAGTTTATATTTTCATGCATATTGTGATTAATCATGAGATTGGAAGTTTGGGTTTGAAGAGTTGGGTTTACTTGTTGGGTTATGATTTTGGGTCATGTGTTTGGGTTGGAATAAATTGTGTTTTGTGAAAAGCTTTAATTTTTCTTAAAAACCCTAGTTTGATCCATGAAGCCAGATGACAGTTTTTCTTAAATTGAAAGTAGTATCATGAAATTGAGGCGTCAAATTACACATGTACAAGTTTAATTGAAATTTTAAAGAGTTTGAAAATTTATGTAAAAGTTGCGATTGATCTTTTAACGTTGATATTTTAAATTATGTTATAATATGAAACCAAACTTAGGGAAAAGAAATTACTGATGGTATGGATGATATAAGCTTTGTGATGAAATGATGATGTGGAGGTTTAAGAGTTTGTATCTAGTTAGGCCGAATTGTATTGAATGGTGTTGAATTGGGTTGTGATTGAATTGTGTTGTGTTGTGTTGTGTTGAATTTTGTCGTGCTATGTTGAATTGTATTGAGTTATGTTATATTATGTTGAGTTGAGTTGAGTTGAATTGAGTAGTGTTAGGTTTGGTTGAGTTTTGTTTTGTTGTGTTGAGTTGAGTTGTGTTGGGTTGTGTTGTGGTTGGTACCTGCGCAGGGAGTCGAGATGTTGTTGGGTACCCATGTCCACCCGTATAATAGTCGGTAAATGTGGGGGTGACTTTGAATTCAAGGTGCCCAAATGCCCAGACTAGGCTTATCGCTAAACGAATGTGGGAAAAATGATTTTTGGGTGTCCACAAAGTCCCACCATAAAATAGCCGACAAAAGTGAAAAAATGATTTTTGGGTGTCCACAAAGTCCTGTCATATTATAGCCAACAAAAGTGGGAAAATGGATAGTTTTGAAAATATTTTTGGGTGCCCACTTCCTGCCATATAATAGCCGGCAAAGGTGGGGATGGTTTTAAAGTTGAAAATGTTTTTGGGGGTCCACGTCCTGCTGTATGACAGTCGGTAAATGTGGAAAAACATGGTTTTTGGAAAAAAATGGTTTTTGAGAGAAGGGTTTTGGGAGTTCACTTCTTGCCGTATAGTAGCCGGCAGAAGGTGGAATGTGCCATGAATTGGGTGCCTACTATCCCACTGTATCAAGTCAGCCAAAGGTGAAATGTATTGAGAAATGTGTTGAGTTGGTGATAATATGTGTGACTTGAGATGAACTGACGAAATTACAATTTGATGTGTACCTTGGCATAAAAGGGGAATGTATATAGAAATTATTTGAAAAGAATGGATAATGAAATAGTAACTAGATAAGGGATTAGTGATAATGAACTCACCGGGTTATATGTAACCATTAAGGGAAGATTATGGGTTTCGTTTGTAAATAATTTAGAAATTGAATTAAAAGGGTTTCTTATCCTTGTGATATGTTGAATTATAATTGATAATACAAATGTGGATGTGATGTAGTTGTTAGACAATTAGGAGCTGAATGTAGGAGAATTGTTATTGAATGTAGAGGAGACTTGGATTTCTATGTTAAGGAGTTATAGCAATAAAGGATTGACTGGTGGGAATGGAGTGTATGAGGGTTGTTTTTTAGTATTAAGGGAACTTAAACTTGAGGTTATGGAGTTTTAATAAATGTAATGAGTAGAAAGGAAAAATGAAAATAAAAAAGAGAAATATTAAAATGAAAATTAAATGAGGAATATTTTGGAATTGGTTAAAAAATTTTAAATGATATTGTTCCTCAAACGTATTTGTTTTCAAAAAGGATTTATGGTTTTTTGATGATAACAAAATAATTTTTACAACTGAAGGTTTTCCTTAAATGTTCAAATAAATTTTGACGAAAAGGTACTCTACGTATGATATTTTGGATTTGCAAAACGTCACCTTACTATGTGATATCACCCTGCATGCATGATCATTTCTATCTATAGGATAGTTATTGTTTTAGAACTATGATATTCCTACTGGGAAATTGTGCTCATCCCTTGTTGTTTCATTTTTGTTACAGGAAAAGAATTCAGATTGATTGGTTGGAGAGTTAAGAAGTTCATGTATCTTTTATGTGTAAATTGATAGTAGATGTGAAAGAAATGAATTTTGTACATTGATGGTTGTAGTTATTTATATGTAGCTCCGAAGTGGAAGTGGGCATGTATTATTATTATTATTATTATTGTTGTTGTCTTCATTGCGAGAGAGAACATGTAGTATTATGTTTCTATTACTCAAGGGTAACAGATATATATACATATAATGAACCTAAATTAAAAGCTTTTGGTAATGTTTCTAGGTACTTAAAATTCGGGGCGTGACAGTTTAAACTTAGTGTTAAGTGATATTTCCAAGTTGAAACATATGAAAGAGCTTGCCTTTAGAGCATCAAGTGTGATAGGATACATTTACAATCACACATGGTTGATAGCTTGGTTGAGAAAGAAAGGATGGACTGAAATTCTGCGCCCAAGAACAACTCGTTTTGCCATTACTTTCATTGCATTGCATAGTATTCATAAACATATGCATGATTTGAAAGCCTTAGTGACAAGTAAGGTTTTTGGTGGATTCAAGGCATGCAAAAGATAATAAAGCAAAAGAAGTTATTGTTATCATTTTAGACAATAAGTTTTCAAATGATTACTTGATCATTATTAAGATTGTTAAGCCACTTATGCGATTGTTGCATATTGTTGATGGAGATAAAAGCCTTCAATGGGATGTGTATATGAGGCCATGTATAGGGCAAGAATAGCAATTAAGAATGTTTTCATGATGAAAAAAAACATTATACAAGCCTTATACAATATAGCGATCCCGGTATTCCCTGTTGTTGTATAACTATAATCTGGACTCAGTTTCGTAGATTCGTTGTTGTCTTATCCTCATTTCTATCCCTTACTCTTTGTTTTAGAGTTTTGGGTTGTGTTGGGCAAGTTGGGAATTAGTTGGTTGTGTTTTAAAGCTTTGAAATTTTGCCCAGGTTTTGGTCTCTCCGCTCGAGCGGCGGTTTTACGCTCGAGCGAGCTTTTGTTGCTGCCTTTCCGCTCGAGCGGCAGTTTGGACGCTCGAGCGTGAATTTCCTTCTCTCAGCATTTTGGTCGTCTGCAGAAAATTCTGGGAGAGTGCACCCGGCGCTCGAGACCATTAGAGGGGTTTCCATCGTGAACCTGTGTCTGACGCTCAAGCGGGGTGTTGTACGCTCGGATTCACTTGGCAATGGTGGTTCAATCATTTATGAGTCGTACGACCTGACTTTGACAGATTATTTGAAATATTTGAACACTCGACGCTGGCCCATGATTTCATACGACAAGGTTCCTTTCGTCAAGGGATTACATTTGCAGCTTGGAGAAAAAGCATGTTATTTGATTAAGTATACCTGTATATAGTGTAATTTAGATTTTGATAAATAAAATTTAGTCATTTAGCAAAATTTATTTTGAAATTGTTTCTTTGTAAGTGCCTGTTGAAGTTCATATTGGATTTACATAATCAAGATCTTATGACTGTTGGATTTAACGAGAATAATGTTGTAGCGGTTAATGATACTCCTAAGTTCTTCGATCTAATAACCAAACCATGTACAATTTCTGGAGTGACCAATAACCTTTTGTGCTTAGATTTTTTAGTTCGTAATGTTATTTTGGATAGAATGGATGTGCCAACAGAGCTGGAAGATTTCTTAAACCTTCTCGTTAATTGGAGCTATTTTTAATGTAATTTTTTTTTATACATTTCCAAATTATTGATGATTCTTTCTTTTCTTTATTTAACCGTCATTATTATATTTCAAATTATCTCTTCCACAGGGGAAATATGTAAGACTAAATTATTTATTTAGTCATTATATTGACCTACATGATATGGTAATATGAATTAGAGATTTGGCATGATTATGATTCCATATTTTTGTTACAATTAATTGGTAAATAAAGAAGAGTGTTTTCCAAGTCTCCTATTTTGATGAGAAAGTGGAATCATTGTTGAATAAGGAAACTAGTCCTTTCTCTATTTATAAAAAGACATTCAGACTACCCATCAATTGAATCTGTATTCACATTATTCTAAAGAGTATTAAGAGAGAGAAACTATTTTCCAATAAACCTGAAGGTTAGGGTTTGTTTTCATTCATCTACTGAATCTCTGAAATTTTATTTTTTCCGCAATGATGGATTCAGGTATGTAAAGTTATTTACATGAAAATCATGATAGTTCTAGATTTTGGGTTATGATGATTATCATGCATAACACTATAAACTTACTTACATGTGGTATCAGAGCCTGGTTAAAAAATTATTATGATTTTCTATTCTATTGAACATAATTGATTTTGTGTTTGGACCACGGGTTATTTTTATTACTTTTGATTCAATTCTCTTGGTGGAGTATGATTCAGTTATTATATGACCAATTGGCTTGATTATTATCTTCTAGAACCTTATTTATTTATAAAGAGGAATACTGAGAATTTTGATATATTGAATCTGGAAAAATTTATCACTTAATTTTTTTCTCGTCATCTGTTTTGATATTAAACTGTGTGCATGATCAGTCATTTTATTACTGATATTTATGCCATTTTTTTTAATAATGAATTTCTCAGTTTATAATATAATCAATTGATTTAGATTTGCAATAATAAATAAAGCCAATAAATCAGGCCATAGATGTTGAACTTTATTTAGCTATTATTAACATGATGTTGTATATATTATTTTAATGTGTAGAAAGCATATGAAGCATATTATTATACTAATCAATTCACGTGATCTAAGTAGACAATATCAGAATCAATTATGTGGCTATACGAGAATTAATTTCTTTTTTAATTTGCCTAACGTTGATATTGTTATTTACCGTTCTTATATTTTGTTGCATATTCCTGTAATTAATAATTGTGAATGAAATATTGTTGATTTCATGTATGTACAAAGTCATTATTTTGATTTAAAATTTATATTATGATACGATTGATAGTTACCAAAATAACATAATCGGAATGGCACATGAATATTAAATCAAATAATTGAGTTTTACTACTCTAACCCAAGTATTAAACTATAATGATTTTGTAAATCACAATTTTTAAGTATGAGGATATTAGGTGGCCCAAAGGTGCACCACTTCTAAATAATTATTGAATTGGAATAGGATAGATGATTGGTATTCACAGTTGAGATTGGAACAAATACCTAAAGGTAATGGACCTACTTAATTGTGAATATTTTATCAACTAGTCCTATTGGTGAAAGGGAATCACCATAATTCTTAATAGTATGCCATTAGATTTTCCCAAAGGTAGATCACGGTAATACTATTTATTATTGATTAAACGTGTGTTTGACTTATTAAAACTCTTAGTACTAATATAGTGAGCATGAATTTTTAATTTGCAGTGCCAGTTCCCGTTTCTCTACATTCACTTGCTTCGTCTGTTCCGTTTCTTAATGGAACGAACTTCTCAGATTGGAAAGAACAAGTTCAATTCCATCTTGGTGTTCTAGACCTTGACTTAGCACTTTTATTTGAGAAACCGACTGCTATTACTGATATAAGCAATGCTGAAGAAAAGGCTTCGCATGAAGCATGGAAGAAATCAAACATACTAAGCCTTATGCTTATGCGAATGACTATAGCAAACAATATCAAGTCAACTCTTCCAAAAACTGATGATGCTAAAGAATATCTTGACAAAGTGGAAAAACGTTTCCGAACTGCTGATAAGTCTCTTGCAGGGACACTGATGGCTAAGCTTACCACCATGAAATTTGATGGTACACGTGGGATACATGAGCATGTCCTTGAAATGACCAATTTGGCTGCTCAATTAAAGAATTTAGGGATGCATGTAGATGATTACTTTCTTGTACAGTTTGTTCTAAATTCTCTGCCTCTTCAGTATGGGCCATTTCAAATTAGTTATAACACTATGAAGGATAAGTGGAATGTAAATGAATTGGCCAGTATGCTTATGCAAGAAGAGGCAAGACTTAAGCAGTTGGGACAACATTCTATTCATCTCATAAATCAAGGTGCCGAAAAGAGAGAGAGGAAGCCTTAAAAAGGCATAATGCGTGGACCACCTAAGGCAAGCAAGTCTGCTCAAAATTCTCAGGCTCATAAGAAGGAAAAGGACAATAACAAGTGTCACTTCTGTAAGAAAACTGCACACTTTCAGAAAGATTGTCCTAAACGTAGGGCATGGTTCGAAAACAAAGGTAATAATTTAATTTATTTATGTTTCGAATCATACCTAACTGAAGTTCCTTCTAATACTTGGTGGCTTGATTCTGGGGCTACTACTCATGTTTCCAATAGGATGCAGGGATTCCTTTCAATGCAGAACATAAACCCAAGTGAGAACTTCATATTCATGGGAAATCGAGTCAAAGCACCAATTGAAGTTGTTGGGACTTGTCGTTTATTTCTAGCTAGTGGTCATTATTTAGATTTACCACAAACCTTTTATGTTCCTTCTACTTCCAGAAATATAGTTTCATTGTCTAAACTTGATCTTGATGATTACTCTTTTAAATTTGGCAATAATAGTTTCAGTCTTTTTAAGTATACCTCTTTGGTTGGTTCTGGTGTACTTTGTGATGGTTTATATAAATTAAAGCTTGACGATCGATTTGCTGAAATCCTCATTACCCTGCCTTATAATGTTGGTACTAAACGCAGTCTAATAAATGAAAGTTCCTCTAACTTGTGGCACAAAAGGCTGGGACATATTTCTAGAGAAAGGTTAAAAAGATTAGTAAAGAATAAGATTCTTCCGAATCTAGATTTTACTGATCTCGGTGTGTGTGTGGATTGTATTAAGGGAAAACAAACCAAACACACCAAGAAAGGTGCCACAAGAAGTTCAGTGCTTCTTGAAATTGTTCGTACAGATATTTGTGGGCCTTTTGACATTCCATCTTTTGGTGGAGAAAGCTATTTTATCACCTTCATAGATGACTTTTCACGTTATGGTTATATCTATTTATTGCATGAAAAATCTCAAGCAGTGGATACCCTTCCGGTATACATTACCGAGGTTGAAAGACAATTGGATAGAAAGGTGAAAGTTGTCAGATCAGATAGAGGTGGTGAATATTATGGAAAGTATGATGAATCAGGGCAATGCCCAGGCCCATTTGCTAAACTCCTTGAAAAGTATGGCATTTGTGCACAATACACTATGCTAGGAACGCCACAACAGAATGGTGTTGCTGAAAGGCATAATCGTACACTAATGGACATGGTTAGGAGTATGTTAAGTAATTCCACACTACCCAAATCATTGTGGATGCATGCACTTGTGACCACTATGTATTTATTAAACTGGGTCCCTAGTAAGGTAGTTCCAAAGACTCCTTTTGAACTGTGGACAGGAAGGAAACCGAGTTTAAGACACCTATATGTTTGGGGTTGTCCAGCAAAAGCCAGAATTTATAATCCACGTGAAAAGAAATTGGATTTTAGAACGATCAGTGATTACTTTATTGGTTACCCTAAAAAATCCAAAGGGTACAAATTTTACTGTCCTAACCATAATACAAGAATTGTAGAAATCGATAATGCCAGATTCATTGATTTCTTTTCCCAAGACCCATCTAGCCTTTCCTCTTCTTCACCACTATCTTCTCTCTCTTCTCTTTTCTTCAACTTTCCTCAGTCTTTAATGGTTGCCCCACACTTACCCTCCTCTAATAAAGCACTCTCCACTGCTTTTGTAAACAAAGAAACTAGAAAAACAAAAACAAAAAACAAATGTGTAGATCAAGTATCATCTACTTCAGAAATAAACAAACAAAACCCAATTATTTTGAAAGAAAAAAGGGCTTATAGAGAAAGAAAAAAGGGGTGGGGTTTGATTTATTAATTGGGTTTGTTCTCCTTTGTTCTACTATCTCTGTCTTCTTCTTTTAAAGTTCAATTTCTTTCTTTCTTTGCTCACTTTTAAACTCATCGTCTTCTTCCTCTGTTCCCCTCATTTAATATTCTTCTCATTTTGTTCTTTTTAAAAAAAAAGAAAAGAAAATAAATTTCGACAAATAGATATCCTCTTTCCCATTAGAAATAGCTTTCTAGTGTCTTCGATTTCTCAATATTGTTTCTGATTTGCACAAGAGAGAGAGAGAGAGAGAGAGAGAGAGAGAGAGAGTACTTTGAAGATCAAGTTTTGCAGGTATTTATGTTTCTTAGAAAGCAATCATGGTTTCATGTTCTTCAGATAGATTTGAAAATCACTTCCCGTGGGTGTCTTTATTTCCATTTTAGGAGAGAGAGTATCAATCTTGAAACCAAAACACAAAACAGAAGATAGTTGTGAAGAAGAGGAAAGGTTGGATGAGTCTGGTAAAGGAAAACAAGTTTTGGAATATATTTTAAATTCAACAGATCTCAACCGTCAATCTCTAAGTGAGTGACGTGGCTCCATCTCAGCT